CTCCCTGCCCCGGGCCGGCTCTGAGCGTGGAGGAGAAATGAATGAAATTAAATGAAATCCGCGGTGGGTTCAATCTCACGGCGTGAAAAGGAGCTGTAAACACAAGGTTAGATAAAAATCTCTGAGCCGCAGTGACCTGGAGCGGGTGCAGCAAAAGGTCAGGGAGGTGCTGACAGCGCTGGAGCATCTCTGCTTTTAGGGAAGGCTGAGTTGAGGCTCTTCAAGCCTGACAAGAAACGGCTGGGAGGGGWTTTTACCCATGCACACAGGTTTTAGTAATTAAGTTATTATTTGATTTGTTAATTACGTGCCAAGATGATGGAGCCAGGCTCCTCTTGGTGGTGCCCAGCAATGGGACAAGAGGAACAGAAGTTCCACCTGGAAATGAGGAAAAGCTGCTTTCCTGTGCAGTGATCGAGCACTGAAACAGAGAACAGAGAGGGTGAGGAGTGTCCCTCCCTGGGATATTCCAGACCTGTCTGAACACAATCCTGTGYTCTTTAAACTTGTCAGCAGAGTGCTGTCCTGATGAGAGATGATTGGTGTCATCCCCAAGAACAGTCCATGAGTTGCAAACCCCATTGATACACCCCAAAAAGTTTGATGCAGCTGCGTCTGCATTGCCCAACTCTGTCTCAACATTTATTATCATTGCCTTCCCCTTTAAAGACCCCAAACAAAAAGCCATATTGTGGGCCTGCAATTTCTTTTTCTTTTATAGTGTTTAATTTTTGTTGCTGAAATTTTTATTGTATCCTTTGTTACAAACGAATAAATCCCATACAATGCTCCTGAGCATTTCACAATTCCTCTATGTGAGCCCTGTTTGTTGCTTTCTTCCTAAAAAGGCCTTTTTTTCAGGGAAAAATTCTGCACTTTCTGCTTTTCTTTTCAGTATCTCATTTCKATTCAGCAGTAATATTCTCCATGGATCACTGATGGAGGAAACCAATGATTAGCCAGCAAGCAAAACACTAATTTTTATATATTTCTAAATCAGAATTAAAGCGGTTTAGAAAAACACATTTAAAAGACAAATAGCACTTTCCTTACCATCATGGGTGGAAAATTCCAAAACAATCCTTATCCACACTGACCTGATCATGCCTTCAGAGCAACAATCAATATCACATTTGCCAAACGAGCACAAATATGCCTGTGATGATACATTAAGCATTTATAAAATACAATAATCACTTAAGTGATTATTATTTCATAACTTTTTCTGCATTATGTCATTGTAATACACATATTTGCTGGGTATTGTATGTGATACTATTAAAAAAAATGTTTTTGTTATCAGGCTGATCAAGTGAATTATTAAAAAATTATGAGCCACTTCTCCAAACTGGGATTTTATTAAAAATATGCTAAATGTTTTTAATCCTTATGATATGCTAATATATTTCGATTTCTGTTAGTTTTTTACTAAATTGCTGTGAGTATATTTGAGTCATGCTTTTAAGCTTATTTCTGCAATCTTGAAGGACAGATCTTATTTTTTGGTGGCTCCTGGGATTTTCCAAAAATGGACATGACCCATGTAGCACTATTTTAGAATTTAATTTAAGTTAATTTGTTCTTCATCCCGGGTCATAGTCAGGATGAGGAAAGCAAAGGATTGAGTGCTGGTTACGTGATTACAGGGGCAGTTCTCAACACAAGGAATTTGCAAACAAACACCAGCCTCCCCCTTGCCAGTCATACACTAAACAAATTATTGCTTTACCAAAAATAAAACTCTACCTCCCCAAATAGAGCATTTGGTCAGTTTGTTATTTAGTCTTGTTATTTAACAATACT